TCTACTACAAGTGAAGTGTTTTATAAATAGTACCCATTCAAAATGAAAACTCTCTAATCAAAAATAGCACCCAATCGTGCATAAAGATGACAAATTCACCAAAAGATCAAACACATAGCAGAAAATGATCATTTAAGGTTCTTATTTTAATACAGTTCTGTCACACTCTTCCAACCTTTACAATCCCCAAGATACCCTATTTATTAAACTTTCTATAGGTCAAAATTACGGGCATGTGAGGATTTCAATGACAATGCTTATTGTTCTGTAGGAATAGCTCATTCATAGCACATCAGGCTCTGACAAGAGCAATGCTCTGTAGGTTGCAATGGAAGCCACCAGGTGGTTACAAAATCCACTTCCAAAATTATCTGATTAAGTGACAGGGCTTTAGAATTCCCTTGTACAATCCATCACATGGTGGGACTAAAAAGAATAAAATAAAGATGCTAAAAAGCCCTATTGGTGTTATAAAGCAATAGTATGCTCTTCACTTTTTAAACAGGTTAAACTTAAGATATTCCCTATGTGTAAAAATACTGTTTTAAACACTACAGGATGAGATGACGATGAAAACAGATGAATCAACATTTGTACCTCCAAAAAAAAGCCACAAATTGTTTCAGGTCTAAAGACATCTTAACGTCTTACTACTACATACTTCTAAGATGGTGTTGAATATAGTCTTTAAGATGTGAATTGACTCTTTTGCTGACACTGTGCAGAGTACAACACAATGGGACTCAATTCTGATTTGCAAACTGCACTTACAAATGTCAATTAAGTAATGCAGAACAATAGCAATAATGCCAGTGGCAGGAATAAAAGACTACTCTTCCCCACCCATCACAGCCACTTGTCTTTGCTCACCTCAACAGCCAGACAAGGCAACACAGCAGCATTGTGCTGATAGCCCATCAGCAGAACCATCGATACCATGACAGAGACAAAAGGAAGGTAATTACTATATTTTCTGAGGCAAGCATAATCATGTCCTAATACTAGCAAATAGAAGTCAGAGCCCAGTGCAGCACTTCAGCTTAAATTACTGGAAACATCCATTCAAGTTCTGATACTCAAGTTCACCTTATTGTCCGTATCCTTCTTGCCAACTGCAGACTGGAGGGCATGAAGGAGGGCGTCCACCAAGCCGTCACACTCTCTTAGTCTTCTGCGTGCTTCTGCTCCATCTGAACTTACATTCCTAATAGAAGAGATATAAAAGAAAACTTAGCCCTCTAACCTTCACCGCAAGGTTGAAGGTGTGTTGATTTATAATACAATTATTAAGAACTCATTATCTCAGATCAACAATTTGGAGGCAAAGAAGCCTGACAAACTATTATACCTCAGTAAAACGCGGGCATCCGCAATGACCCTAATCTGAACGAAAAGGGAAATGCAGTTGCAGAGGTGCCTATGCACACATTTTTCTGTCTTGCTAGCAAGTTCAGCCATGTACCTTGAACCGGACAGGAGTTCTCATAGCAAACAATACCCAATCTAAAAATTTATTTTTTAAAGCCAGAACTTTTCATCTGAAAAATACTTTCACCTTTTTAAAGAAAATTACACGAGGGCAAAATCACAAGTCAAATGCATAAAAAATAAATGCATAAAAATAGTCAAATGCATAGTCAGGCACAATTATTACAGTTTATGTATGTATATGTAATATATATATATATATATGTACGTATATATATATATGTATGTGAATATATACATATGTTAAATATGTATATGTATATATATATATATATATATACATAAAGTTACTTTTCTGAAGCTGAAGACTACTCAGCAGCAGTATGCTCCTGGCCACAGAAACTGCAAAAAGCTTTTTGATTTCATGAAAAAACAAAACAAAACAGATATTCAAAAAGCTATAGTTCATTTAACTATGATCAGCCTGCCATGTTCTGGGGGGGGGAATGAACTGACAAAACAATTCTCAATAGTGTTCACTGGCAAGCCTATGCCCAAGTTTTCTCAAAGCTGAAATACACGAATGTTGACAATATCACAGTCAACACTACAGCTTTCAGGGTCTTTGAGTTCTCAGATCCATGTAAGGTTAGCTCTCAAAAGGTCAGGACACAGTGATTACCTTCTGCTATCAGGATAATGTGTCCAATTTTTCTTTTTACCTAACTATAGGGACTGCCAATCTCAAATAATTAACAAACCAACCATGGTCCATCCCCCCATCACCCACACAGGTTTGTATGTTAATCGCTTAACTAGAAAAAAAACTTTCTGAGACCTATCAAAATCTGAAGACACTTAACTGCAAGCTGGTTGCTGTAACAGCACTTTGACTTGCCGTTAAGATCACAAATGAGATACACAGACAAACGAGTCCTTTCTCTAAAACCTAACACAGTCTCACCTCTAGCAATGGCTGATACAGAGCACGTAAAGTGGATATTAACGTATGATTCCACAGGATATATGGACGAGAATTCTACATGCTGTTTTTTCATTTCCTGTTGTACTAATCATTTAATATCAAAAGCCCAAACGTGAATTTTAATGTAAAGTTTCTATGAAACTGAAAGTTGAATTAGAATTCTCTGAGATACCTTTCAGGCATTATAATAATAAACGACAGGTACTCCACCTCCAAGTACATTTATTAGAAGTGGAACATTACTTACTGAGCTTGAGGGTGGCAGAAATGCTCTAAAAATGGTCCATGTGGAGTTGTGTATCACATTTCTTACTCACTCATTAAGCCTTAGAAATAGCCAACTAAAATACATGAGAAACACTCTCAAACTTCAAGAAACAAATAAATCAAATCTTGCAAAAAATATTCCTTAACACCTTTCTTGCCCTCAAGGCCCATACACAAGAGATTCTTTTTTTTTTTTCATTTGTGCTCCCACACGTTTAATAACGTTTGTTTTATGGCTTTGGTTATCGACTGCATCACAGAATTTTTTATCTTGCTGTCTTACTTCTTGATCTGTTATAGGATGAATATGAAGGTAGACATTGATAAGATTGTAATTGAAAAAGATATTAGAAAGTGCGTCAGTAAGTGTGGCTTGCTAACCTCACTTTCTTGGTGTATCTTCAGCTATAGAACTTAATGAAAATTAATGCCTCAAGAAAAGATTCCCACATATATCAGACATAAATGAGCATGAAAATTCTGCAGGATCAAATTAATAGCTAATTAATACTGTGTATAAGCTACCCAGGCATCAAACTTAGCAGTTTTAATGTCGTAACTAATACACTGGAAAACATCCGTGTGAGCATCTCGTGCAGAAACATCGGCCCTACAAACACCTGACGCTCCTGGGATTTTGCTAGTCCTCCTTGGGTGACAAGATTCCTGCAGCCCCTGGGATTTACCTAACATGGAACAACAAAACCCATTTCCCTGTCTGTAATTACAGCCCAGACATACCGGAGAGCTCATCCCACATCCTTTACACACAGAAGTCTGGGCAACACAAATCTCAGAGAGACTATGTCTAGGGAGCTGGGTCCTGCCTGGCAGAACGTGCTCTTTCTGCTGCTCTGACACTGCACCAGGCAGCAAACAGCTCCCTGCTCCCAAGGGAATACTTGCATCTCAGATACATACACAAATACACCAAACATCCGTAAGCACCACAGAAAGGTGGGCTCTGAGTGAGCTGTCATCTGGCAGCCCCTGGAGAAGAGCTCCCGGGGTTGGAGTCCATCATCCAGAACAATGTTGGAAAGCTGGTTAAGCTGAGGCTACGAGCCCCAGCTGAACTCAGCAAAACAGCCAAGGGGTCCTGCAACCCAGGAAAATGCCAGTTTGCATTTCTGCCTCGGGGTGTTAATATCACAGCCTGCCTCCTTGATGATCACCTGGTTATCATCAGTCAAATTCACACCTCGGGTATTCAGGAGGGGCTGCAGTGCTCAGGCAGAAGTGATCACCTGGGCAAGAGCTAGTGCAGGAAGGCCTGCCATGTCCTGCAGGCTGCTCGTTAAAAAGGACACCATCAGCTCCTGCAAATAAACAGCTAAAACCAAAGTGTACTCCTCATATGACAAAGGAGGCACCTAGATAAAGCAGGCACCTAGGCAAAAAACAAAAACAAAACCACCTCAGACAACATTGCTTGGTGGTCTCTTTTAGCCTATAAAACTAATACCCTCATAGTCTTCACGGGAAAATTCACCTCTGCTGTTCCATACAGTCTGCTTCTCTTCGTCCCCAAGAGAGGTCCCCACTGCTTTCCTTAACACCCATTTCTGAATATTTTTCCAAGGGTCCATTAAACAAAAAATATATTTTAAAAACAAGAATAGTATCTTTCTCACATCGTATTGCAAAGGGTAACAAAGCTGCTTAGTGCGTTTGCCATAAATATATACAATGCACTCAAAAAAAGCAATTCCAAGAGCAAGACATGAAATTACTGTCCGTGTTAATCAATATGTAGGATGGAAACCAACTCTATGACCAATTTTACGTGAAGCAGCAAGGCACACATCTCACACAGAGATTTGAAAACCCCAGCCTTTAGCTGGGCAGAGTATCCTGGATTCTACCTCGAATTCTTGCAGTCCAGCCTGTAGGCAGGACTAGTGAAAGAAGATTTGCAAGGATGTTTAAATATATGCTTTCCCTGGGAAAACAAAACAGAGGGCTAAGTAAATGTTAAATAAAAGCAAATACCTACCAGCATGGAAACGCATCACACTAGGAATCCAGTCTACTGGCATTAAAGACTTCAGAAAATGGTGGGGGGCGTGTGAGAAATCTGTTCATATTTCAGATAAGGTTATCATTAGCACCAAATAGTCTTCTTAATGACATGCAAGTCTGAATGTAACATTTACATTTGCAGAACAGGCAGCATGCATCACCTCTAGGATAGGTGAGCCATTACTACGATCAGCGCCACACACCAAAATTATCCTCAAGAGAGAAGATTTAGAAGTAATTAAATGCATGGCACTTAATTTGCAAGATTTCAATGCGAATCATGTAGCAATGCCCCCACTATGCTTTCTCTGACAATGCTAAAGCTAAAGCTGAGAGCTTGCATTTTTGGTTTTGTGTGCGTTCTGAGGTGGTTTTTGTTTTGTTTTTTAAACACAGAGGAACTTGAAAATACAAGCACCAGGGAGACATTATTATTTGAACACTTAAACTAGTATTTCCCAGACTATTGCTATGTCTGCCACCTGGCTGGAAAGGGCCATCAGCTGTTATCCTACAGTGCTGCAGATAAAGCCAAAAGCCAGAGGTTAGAGCATTACCCAACACTCACCATCCCACTTCAGTTCTCCAGGCATAAAAAGCACTTTGTTTAGAGACCCAGCTGGGGACAAAGGCAACAGGTTGGGGACCATGGGGGCTGCCTTTTTTTTTTTTTTTTTTTTTAATATAAACATCTGAAATGGAAATTTTTTAGATATGTTTCTAATAAGATTTTCAGCTCTCTCTGGAAGAAGCACGCTGGAAGCAGCTGAAGCTGGCTCAGTGGAAAGCTCTTTTCAGTAGCCTTTGTGCATACCACAGGGTCCAGGTAAGTTTTACTACTTTTTAAAACTGTAACCAACCTTCCAATAGTGATTTTTGTATTGCCAAGCCAAGAAGGAACATTGGCTCCTATATAGACCATCTCAGCACTGGAGAAGAAGGTAAAGAAGGTGAATTCCCTGTGATCATTGCAAGCCAGAGAGCTCCAAAGCACAGGGGTTTCCTGGCAGGTTTAGTGAGAGGCACTTCACCAGGGGGCTGAGCAGGCAGACGGCACATACACCTTGCTAAACCTTGACTACCACTACCACTTCGGCTTCCCTGACCAGACGCTGAGTTTCCTACTTCATCTGATAAGATACTGTAAGGTTTACCCAAGTTTAATTTAAATATTTTAGCTGGTAATACCCACCTACTCTGACATTCAAAACCCTTGCTATAAAAGCACTCTTCTGCACTCATGCTTTGCTTCACTATTAAGAAATTTTTATTTGGATGTCAGCCGAAAGGAGATCGATAAGTAACAGCTGCAGCAGACGTACTCTATTTCCTAGTGCATTTCTAGGTACTAAATGTCCCAAAGGAGGAATATAGAGCAGTTTAAAATCATTCCATCATTTCAAGCAGAAATTCAATGAATTCCATACTTGAGTTCACATGAAATACCAAAAAGTTTTATTGGTATTAAGTTCATTGTTCCAAAAATAAGAGAGAAAAAGCAAAAAGCTGCCTGTGACATGAAGATAGCCTGATCCAGGCCACATTGGTAAAAGAGACCTATACAATGTGATGGAGTTTGGCAGCAGGCAGCTGGATCAGAAATCAAGCAAAGCAGATAAAAGTCAAGCAAAGCCAGAGTCCAAATGAAATAAGCAGAAAACATAGGGGAGCTCTACTGAGGGTGATGCTTGGTAGGGAGCAGCTGTTCAGCTGAGAGAAGGTGCATCAGATTGGGGCAGGAGATCTCACTGGAGATTCCTGCTCCATTTCAGTATCCACTTACTGGCCAGACCCAAGAAAGAAGCAGAGCAGCTCTGACTGCATTGCACCTAAGCCCCTTCCAGACACTTAAATAAAGGGATTGGTTTTGTTTAATTGTCCAAATGCCAATACGAGGACATAACACAACCCCTGAAAACAGACTTCACGAGTTTAGCCTGTGCTCCAGGAAGACATTTCTGTGGAGCAACACATTTGTAGGGCATGCTGGCACATCTCAGGATCACATCAGGATTGTTTCTAAGATCCCCCTGCAATAAGCCAGGGCTCAACAGCCAGCAGCAAAGTTTAACAAGATACAGACGTGAATTCCATCCATTGTTATTTGTGGCTTTCTACATCCAAAATACCAGGTAATGCCTTTTTAGTAAAACGCTGACTGGTTACCTCCTGCATGACCTACTTGGAGGGCCTTAGTTTGCTCTCCTATAACACAAAGCCATGCAGAAATGCAATAGACAAGAATTCCACAATACCCAGCAGCTACTTCGCTCTCAAATTATTTCAGTCTTTGCTTGGAGGAAAGGCTGAGAGGCTCTGCCTGCTTTATCACATATTCTCGCAGCAATGTGAAAAGAATCTCAAAGATACAAAAATAAGGTAGTAGTTATCTAATAAAGGATCACAGCTCACGTGCCTTCCAAAGCAAACTATGCCCATTACACGCAGCGTGCTTTGTTTCGATCTCACTCCTCATCCTACCACAGCAACAGACGGTTTTGTCGATTGCCTTCACTGATAGCCCAGGGGGAAGGGACCTACATTTTTTCCTAAGGAATGACAGAAGGCAATAAGCAAGCGCACAACTTTACACTTATACTTCAGATTTGATTGTAAAGCATTAAGGTTGCATGTAACTAGGTTATGTCTCTGCTGCTAAAATCTATGCATAATTTATTTATATTACAAGCTAAACATCAGGAACTGTCAGGAAGAACCCTAACGGCTCCTTACTAGCACGAATTAAACGCTCTGCTCATCATATAAGCCCCAGGACAGCCATATGCTGTGATCCTGCACAGTTTCAGTAAGCTAATTAAGAAACTGCCTTCACTCACTCCTCTGTATTGAGAGGTGTGGGTTTTTAATTTGAGTTGTTTTTTTCCAGTCTGGGTTGGGCAGATAAGCTTCTCCCTCTTCTGTGCTGCAAAATCAAGACTCACAGGCAAATTTTTGTTCCGTTTTTATCTTTCTAAAACTATTTTGCTGAAAGTCCAGTTCAAAAGTGCCTATGACACAACAAAACACAAACAGGATCGTCAGTTCCAGCCTCTGGAGCAGCGGCCTCTCAGAGGCTGTACCCACGTGTGAAGAAGACACCCGTGCAGCAGCTCCAGGCACAGCGGGTGGGTGAACAGAGACGAGGCAACATCTGCCCTCATCTGCTCCGGGTGGGGGTGAGCTCTGTACCAAGTCCTGTGCAGGCCTTGTTGGTTAAATGACTGCTGTATGAAGGCATAGAGAAGGATTACTTGAACTATGAGAGGCAGACACGCTAGTTAAAAGGAAACGTCAGCCAAATGATTTTGTCAAACAATCTTTCTGAGGGTGGGGAGGAAACACAGCTGCTCCAACAAGACCCTTTGTGCAGCATGACAGGGCTCCGTAAAAATGCTCTACTAGGTAAGCTCAGTTACTAATTTGCTGCTGTTCCAAAGGTAAAATAAAAGCCAGCTCTTGAAAACTCCCATCTAGTACCTTCTCGGTCCTGCCCTGCTGCAGTCAGCAAAGTTCCCCTGACAGCCAGGGCAGCTCAGTGGGTGGCACTCTGGTGGCATCACCTGAGCTTCACCTCCTGCGCCCTGCTCATACCCAGGCCGTGCTTCCAGGCCGAGGATTCACACTTCGGTGCTTTCTTTCTTCAGTCACTTGCAGATCGAGGCTACCTCAAGTAGACGAGAGTGCAGGTAGGACAAATATTATGTGACTGTCACCATGCCCTGCATCACGGCAGCAGGATTTAAATGTGGGTAGAGCTTGAAGGTAATTCACTTTGAAAGCTCTCATTCCCAAGCACTTTTCTTCAGAGGAAAGCTACACATTAATCATTAAGAAGAAAGAAGGGCATAACCATCTGCTTTTGGCATGGCCTTTCTTACCTCAGATTCAGCATGCAGAGGCACGAGGGGAAGCAAGCCCCAAGCTTTGCAGCCAGGATGCTAGAGGCCTTCAAACAGGACCAGCAACACCAAACCCCAGCACTACTAGATCCCACAGATTTCCCTGACTGGAGGCATGGCGACTTTAAGGAGAATAGAATGCAATATAAAGGGATTCTCATTCCCCACCCAACTAAGGTAACAGTTTTGAATAAGTAATAACAACTAATAAGCTTCTACTTATAGCATTCTTCCTCTTAGGTGTCTACTAGGAAATATTACGCAACGCAGAAGCACGAACAGCCCAAGTCCAAGCCCACTTTCTATTCACGATCCCTGTAAATTTTCCAAAAAATCCAGGAGGGACTGCAGGGATGATCCAGAGATGGGAAGAAAGAAACGGGAACACCGCTGTCACCAAGATCTATTCAGCCCTCTCCCGGGTACAAAGGGAGAATTCTTCTCTCAACACAAGACCACAGACTTGGTTTGACAAACCCTATGTACCTCTGCGTCTTACAGGTGCACACACATGCTCCAGTGTGTATTGGAGGTATGTGTGCACACATCTATTTGCAAACACATAAAGAAGTTACAGCTTGAGGAATGAGCCCATTACCATTAAGCACTGCTGCTTAAATATGTCAGAAGCACAGTAAATTAGATCTGCAGGACAAGATGTATGTGCACGTACACTGATGCTCTCCGTCCTCTTCAAAAAAAGGTTTAAAACATGCTCATATAAAAACTCTATTTGGCACATCCTGCTTATTAATGATTTACTATCAAGCTTCTGTGGTCCAATTTCCTCTGAAGTAAAATAAAAGTAACAGGAGCCTGCACACACTTACACATCATCTCCCACCCTAGTAAGATATATTTGTTTTGGCTCTGAATCTACTGAGTCCTTATCTCATGTCATCAAACATTGCCTCACACTTCCCATAACTCTCAGGTTTTGATTTTACAGGACAGCACTCTTAATTTATACCTACAAGAGGGATCGATTCCCAGTTGTTGTTGCTTGGGCCAACCACTGCACAATACTTGAACTACTGGCATTTACCATCTTCATGGGAAGGTAAGACAGAGGTGCAAATATCAAGACAGGAGAAGTGAAGACGACTGACTGAATTCCAGATCCACTCAGGAACTTAGGAATCCAAATCTCATCCAAATCAGAGGGAAGAGGGGCTATTAAAAATTAGACCACAGAAAGATTTACACAGTTAATCTTGCCTGAAGTTATGTCAGAACAGTAGCAGAACAGCAATTAAATCCATGCTTCTCAAGTCCCTTGTCACAGCTTTAGCCACCAGGTCATCCCTTCTCTTCTCGGTAGCTGATGTTGGACAAGCTGTTAATGTACAATTTCGATCTGAAGGATGCATGTTTTTAGTAGAAGTCAAGTGGGTGCAGTTTGTTTGTGTTTGTACACCCACGGCCAGGTCTCTGAACCTTGTGGCTATTTGTGAATGTGAATTTCTGTATACTTGGAGAATTGTCAAGAAACGCTGCAAGTACAGATGGTACCCTGGAAAAAAGGGGCACTTTGCATCTGTTTACTATGCAAATTAATTCATTTAACATTTTTTGACAGCAGGTCAGTTTAGAACAGGAATCGGGCTAAAAAGTTGGCAATTTAGAAACTAAGTTCTACTCTGCCCTCTAAAAAGTGAAAAAATCCAAGAGAGAATTAAAAGTAATTAGGCAGAAAACTGCAATTAAGCTCAGAATGAATTTAATTTTTAAACCATTAATCCTTGCTGCTTCTGGAAAACTGAGAATCATGGTGGATATCTACACAGAAAACAAAAATGGTGATGTGACTGCAGCAGTGCTCTCTGACCCACGGAGCAGCACTCCCACGCTGAAGCAGGAAGAAGCACCTTGGGAGAAACCAGACCTGGATGGCAATGAGTTAGCCTCAGCTCTGGCACTCTCTCAAGCAATTCATCTCATTCTCTCATCCTAAAGCACCTTACTGTCTTGGGCAGAGTTCTAGGAAGGATCACAAAATGATCTCGTTAAAAATGCACCAGATCATTATATTAAATTGGTGGAGACTACAATTAAAAAGTGAATGCTTCTGGATTGCAAAACCCAATAGGGATTTAGGGGCTTAAAGATAAAAAGACAGTAATCAAAGAGATATTCTCTGCATACCTAAAAGAATAAAATACAAAGACATGAAACTTGTATTCCAAGTAAGATAAAGGAACACCTGTGAATACTTCATGATTTTTCCATCAAATACCTTTCTTACTTCTTCCCTAGTCCTACTTTTCTAGAACCAAAATCCACTTGATTTCCATAAATTAATCTGTGAGGTTTTTTGTTCATTTGTTCATTTGTTTTTCCTGTATTGTTTCCTTCCAAATTTCCTACCTACTTATTTCTCTTAACAGCTTCAATAGAATATAAAATATCTCTTTTTATAAAATTACATGCAACCTATCATCTATCACAAGACACATGAAAAATTTAAGAAGTAAAGTGATTATGGGCTTTGCAGATCCATTCATCAAGGTATTGTAGACAAACTATGACTGGAAAGGAAAATGGGATAAATCAAGATTCTATGAAGGACAAATTAGTGGGTTTTTTTTGGAAAAAATCCACGTTTTCAATTATTTTAAAATAAGTGTTCTCAAGACTCCATATTATCAAAGAAGAGACCTAGATTAAGAACAAAGTAAAGATCAGAAAGCAGTGTAAAAAAAAAAAAACCACACAACAAAACAACAAGTAATTAAGCAGCAGTTCATGCTGTGAATCAACGAGTTTGAAACCAACTCGCCCACATTTGTTGATAAACTTCATCAAAATTACTGAAAAAAAGATACTGAAATGAAAGCAGTCCTGCATGTGTAATGCCTTTCTTGTGCTTGGATATCCAAACTGCAAAGACATCTGAAAAGTCTGAATTTCGAGAAGAACTGACAGCATCTTTGAAGACAACGTAGCACATATTTTCGGATTGATTCCAAAGGGGACAAAGGAGGCTGGCACATCATCAAGAGGACTAACCTCCCAATTAAATATCAAATTGGTACACAGTTTGTAGTTTGCAGTAAGCTCCATTCATGGAAAATTGAATTTCTGGGACCTGCTACTGTGTGAAAAAGAGAAGAGTAGGCAAAGGATTTTTTAAACACTGATGTCTGTTAGACAGATGGCTGCAAACATTTCTTCTCTACTGGCATTAACTGTCTTATCTGAAGGGTGCTTTTAAGGATGAGCTGCAGAGGATTTCAACAAACAGCAGAAAAATATTTCCAACAGAAATAAAGATAATTACTTTTGATGTGTTCTTTTTTATCCCTAGACCTGCAAATGCTCTGCAAAAGATATGTAGTATCACCTACCTTGCAACACTAAGGGCAGCTTGTATCTCTCATACTTCTGCATCTCTGCTGTCCTAGACTTGTTTTAACGCACTTTCTGTTGCAGAGGAGACAGCAAGGCAACTCTCCCCCTCCCTACACAAGGGGTTGCTCCCTCCTCAGCATAGCAGATACACCAGTAAAATACCTTTTACAGATTACCTTTTCCTGCTGATCTGCCAACACATTACCATTTACCTTCAGCAGCCACTTTCAGGCATGAAATCACCTTGCCCCACACCTGACTGAATGAAGCTCCGAATTTTGTGCAAGGTGCTTAGTTCCCTGTGACTAAGACAACAGCGACTATGGACTGAAATACATCTTCCCTCTCAACAACAGAAGCAGTCACTGTTCTCTAACTGCTGTCTCGATGCTTTTGAAGTGACTTTTTAAAAGCAGGACACTTGAATTATCCAAAGTGGAATTCTCTAAGTAGCGTATCTCAGTACTGCTGTTCTCTGCATCCCTCTTCACTAGCCTTTGGAAAATAAAATGGCCGAGTGGTATGTGCTATTTTCATGTCCTGTAAAGCCAATGCCTTTCTTCATTAAAAAGTTTCCTGGAATTTAGAAGTTTGAGTGGATTAGGGCACTGTACAGACTAATAAAAATTTATGATGCGGATTAGGTTAGTCTACTAATGATCAATTTATTGTCTACACTTCTTGGAGAATCTCACATTCATTCAGATAAACCTTTTATCCCCCAGCACGACTAATTTCCTCTTGTGGAACACCATTAGAAAATGAGACACTAGTAAGGAAAAACCTATGATGTCTGGAGCCTACTTAAAGGACCTTAGTCTCCAGTGGGACTGCAAATAATTTCAGTAATGGGCCCTTTCAGAACAGTTTTCATTACTTCCTTCATTTGTGATGTCACTCAAGGGAATAGTTATTGCAATTTAGAGACCACAAGCCCAAGGAACAGAAATGAACCAACTTCAGAAGAAGCATTAATCAGTAGAAGTTTGACAGAAGTATACTTCAGAGCAACAGAAGGAACAATGCCAAATATTTATTAGCTTCATTCAAACTAATTGACTTCTTCATAAAGCTGGAGAATCTAACAGGACACCTCCACTATTTTATCTGAGAGACAAGAAAAGTGGAAGAGTCAGTATTAAGAGCACATGGTTCTTCGGGTTTTTCTGACTCTACCTGATCCCAGCTTCTAGCACCTATCATCTGACTCTTGAGGTGCCCTCAGAAATTCAAATACCATTTCTAACCAGAAAAAAATCCTTTTCAGCAAATACCAGTAATATTAGAATTGTTCAGTAGTTCAGGTTCTTAACCGATTTCAAATAGGTCCTCAGCCACTTGAACTTAAAATAGGAGCATCTCAGTAACTTCCACAAAAGCATCTGTGGCTAAAATGGGACGCATGTTTCAGGCTAGATATATTTCCATGAAATCAGTTTCCTAGCACCTGCAAAAAATGCTTTTTTGATAGCAGGAAGCCCAAGAACAGGAAGGGAACTGTTTCAAAACATGCTTTTAAAATAAATAAAAACAGCACCATTGGGGGAAGCAAAGAACATACTCAAAATTTATAGAAACATCCCACTAATCACAGCACAATAGATAAATGAAAGCATGATTTGTGGTACTTATGGCACAGGTTGCATTGGAAGATACTTATTCTGTACTCAGTTTGGCAGTTAACCTCTTAACTGGATCACTCCCCATTGCACACCTCACTACAGAGAGCCACGCCACAAAACCTGCCTAAATCACCGACTCTTCATACAGACCTCACTGGACAGACCTACACCAACAAGGTTCTACAACAAGAAACTGTGGCACACTAAGCAACTCCAGCATTGCTATCGTGGCCACTGAAACGGGGATCTCTTTGCAAAAACAGAAGGTATATGATACGTGATTTTAAATCAAAAGAATTAAGAAAATCCTTAACACAGGGTGTGGTGAACACCTGAGGAATATTTCCCAGCTCTGCCTTACCGTAAACAACCAGAAGTGTTCTTGAAGACAGTCGTCCACTCGGCATCGCGAGGCTTCGAGTCCTCGTTGGGCTCGCTCTCCCAGCCCGAGTGGGGTATGATCACCTCGTTGGTGAGCGTCTGCAGGCCGTGGTTGATGATGACCATCTTCAGGGGCTCGTAGGAAGACAAGTTCCACAGGGTGCCTTCAGGAGAAACAGGGATAATTAAACAAATAACAAGAGGATAACAACTATTTTTTGATTAAATAGGATCACAATAAGGCTAAATCACAAAACTAAGTGATCACTTGATGAGAGGCCGGACTACACAGGTAGCTCAGGGAAAGCTCCACAGTTGCTGCAATGGAAGCATTTCCAAAGACACAGAATCACTGTTATCAAGATATGGATAATGTTGAAGTCATCAAGTTGTACAACAGAGTACATACATGTGATGTGGAGATTAACAGGATATTTCTACTATATACAAATGTGTTGTTGTTACACTATTAAGTCCAGCTACGTCTCAAAAAGCAGAATTCATCCAGTGAAGCAGATGAGTATATTAAGCAAGCCTTAAAACCAGGGCTGAATTTATGAAGGATTATTGATCTTATGCTTATCCTCTGCACCAGACAGTATTTCACACAAGACTTCTCTGTTATTTACCTTCACATTCTGCTGTCACAGACAATATCTGTGTTCAAATCACCTGGTGTCATAAGCATACGGTTCCTTGAAGAAGTTGCAAACCAGGACTCCTTCTCAAGTCTTTCCATTTTTACCTCATTTGTGAGCTAAAATACAGACGTCAAGTACCAAAACAATAGAACAGCTTCACAACTGTAAAAATACCTGGTCTTAGATACACAATACAACTTCCATCAGACCTGTAACACTGTCTGGTAGTTACTGCTTTTGAAGTTTGGACTAAAATGGAGAATTTCTACATAGGCCCAGCCTTGTAAGGTTTAAGAACAGTGGGTAACTACACTCGGAGGGAGCTAAATGCAGATTTTTGACCTCTAAGGAGAAGTGTGAGGATGCACAAAATTTCAGATAGACTGATTGGAAAAGCTAGATTTCCCCAGAAGTCAAAGGAAATCTTTTCTACATGAATTTGTGCATGTTACAGGGCAAGTTGGAGATATCTGCCTCTTAGCCATATCTGAAACAAAACACAAAAGAAAAACAAAGGTGCAAACTTCTGTTTCAGTCCCTTTCAACCACTCCAAGTTTTAAAACCTACAATTTTCAAACTTCAAAAGTGACTGGAAAACGACGTTGTATCTGTGACTTTTGTCGAATGGTGTAACAAGCCCATTGCCTCGCTGAGCCCTGCCAGCCACCGCAAGGCACCGGTGGGCAGGAGAGCACCACGGCTGCCCCGTGGGAACTCTCCTAGCACCCGAGCTCTCACAGATGCAAGTTGGAAGTGTCAGATGCCCAATGTCCTATTTTAATATCAGAGCATTATCCGTATAGGGTCATGGCGAGTACCGTGTACAAAAAGGAATTTTATCTGCATGTGAGCAGTGAGTGGCACTTACACGATAACCTCAAAGGCTGGTGCTTAGCAGAGCCTCGGAAGTCTAACACTGGGCTGTCTCCGATTCCCAGTGGGCTTTACAAAAGCCAGGCGTCTGCTCAGACTTTGGAGACTACAGAATTTCAGAGGCAGACAACACAATGAATGCCATGTTTGTTTGTTTTTTTAACCTTGCCATTTGTAGATACGTTGCAATTTATCATAACTTTTTTTACGCTTTCCAACAAGATAGTATAGGTGAAGTATGAATTAGTTTTCTTTGTACCTTTATAATAATTACCCTTTGTCATTGTGAAACATGACAGCCAATAAAAATAAACAAACAAAACTAAGCTGGAAACACTAATTGGTCCTGTTTTGTTGTGGAAGAATGTCTTTAATTTTCATAACAAATTGGTATAAGAAACAAATTTAAGTCAATATTTATAATAAGGCTATAAAGCCTGACATGTAAGTTATCAGATTAATTTTAAATATTTCACTAGACAGTCTTTCTTTAGTCACTGTACACCAATTCCTTAAGCATATCAGACTCACTGACATAGAAATAACAACTACAATTAGATCCCTAAATGCACTGCTGGCTCAGTACTTCTGAAATTCAGATGCAAAATCAGAACATCCAGCACTGAACTAGATGGATAAATCCCAGAAAATTATACAGTGTAAGTCAGGGCTCCTCCACGGGAACATGGATGAAGCATTTGCTTAAAAAAAAAAAAAAAAAAAAAAAAAAAAGGCAGGAAAAGAGAAACTGAGGAACCTCACATGGTGTTTGTAAGGAGCCTGCATTTCTGTCCTTTTGAAATGGAAGATATTTCTACTGGAAACAGTGTCAAGATTAA